CCCCAAAACCCCAAAACCCCAAAACCCCAAAACTCATAAATAATAAAATGGACGACTCTAAAGCCAACATAAGACACAAGAAAATGTTTGATTTGTTCTTAGAAGATCCTCGTCAGAAGTTGCATAACTTCCAAGTCAAGCTGCGCAAGAAGAAGAGGTCTGAATTATTCAAGAGAAACCGGAAGATCTCAGTCATGGATGATATTACAATGGAAGATGAACATTTGTTTATCTCAGATTCTAAGATACTTCATCTCAATCTTGTTGAAAAAGTTGAAGTATATGTTGAAAAGATAGTAAATAGTTCCTCTGAAGCGGAGGTAGACAAGTTGATGGACTACCTCCCAATTTTGATCAGAGATAGCTGGGATTCGAAGTATATCAATGTCCTCACTAATAAGAAGTTTATAAACAAACTTGATCAACTGCTGAGCGGAGCATCTTTGAAAACTACAATGAATATAGTAAAATTACTTATAAATCTGACATATCATATTGAAGTAAACTCCATTGAATGTTTTATAAAAGAAGACTTCCTTCAAACTATTCTTGAACTGCTTGAGCTCCCAGAAAATCCAGAGTTCTTGGTGGTAGAGAAGTACCATAAAACTTTGATACTCCTTTCCAACCTATGTTTTGATTTTACAGGCGTTTCTGATGTACTTCTTCAGAACGGAATTTTCCAAATTATAGAATCTCTTTTCCACATCAGAATCTTCTTCTCCAACAGAGAGTTCCGATTCAGTGCTATAACTCTATTTGACTCTATCATTTGACATCGTGAGGACTTTGATATAGAGGATATACAGTTCTTTGAGGAGCTGATCTGTACTTCTCTGGTTTCAGAGTCTTCCTCATCTATTTCAGACCCCTCTTGGCAGGTGAGCCATTTGACTTCTCTTAATCGTATTTACAGGCTCTTTCCATGTTTTGTCCCTCGCATAGAGACTGTCGAATGGATCCTCGACCAAATCTCTTCAGAAGTTCAACCTAAAGAGATAATTGAAGAGTGATTGCAGCTTCTCGCCACTATCACATCCAGAGAGGCTACAAATGATTGACTTAAAAGAACGAAAAGGGATTTGGCTGAAATTTTAGAACATGCTTATTGACTCAGAAGACCCTCAAGCCTAGTTATGAACGCTAAGCTTTGTATAATCTCCATCGTCCACACTTTGCAGACAAGATCTAGTCTGTCAGATGTAGGTAAGTAAAGTTCATCTCAAAAGCTCTTCTATTTTGTTTGTAGATTTAACCGTTTTCTTAGAATCAGAAAACCTCTGTGAAACAGAGGAAGGCAGAAAGTTGTACAGTAAGATTGCAGCAGATCTGGCCAACGGAGAATTTCTAGTAGCCAAACAAGCATGCATGTTATTCGAAAACTGAACTGATGAGGGTATCTGTAAAGAAGTGCTAGAGCATGCTTGAGAGGCTTTGCAAGAGACATGTAAAGAAATTGGACTTTTGGAATCTGTTTTAAATATGATTATAAAGATCTTAGAGACTGACCTTTCTCAGAATTTATCTGATAATAGATACGCTATGTTTTTCAAGGAAATAGGAGGTTTTGAGAAGATTGGAAACCTTGCTTATCATGAAGAGATTACAATTTCTCAAAAAGCAAAGAAAATTCTTGATGAATTTCATTGGTATGAGTCAATCACATCTTAAAAGTTTATTTCTGAATATCGAAATTGTAGAAATCTAGCTCTCTTTCAATCTTACCATTTATGAAAGGGGTTTTGGGGTTTTGGGGTTTTGGGG